GTCCCTAGAATCCACGCCGCCCAAACGAAAAGTCTACTGTCAGTCCCCAGGGACTGACGCCGCTTGAACGGAAAGTCCACTGTCAGTCCCTAGGGACTGACGTAACATTCAACGGGTTAACGCAAGTTCAATGTTAGATCCAAATTGAATCCAACTGAAACGTTTGAAACAGTTGTGGCCGGTTTGGAACGGAACGATGACCAAACCTCCCCGTGGAAAATTATTCTACATACCGCAACGTCCGTACATGACTCTGGGCACGCTCAGGGATCAAATCATTTATCCCCACACGAAGGAGGAAATGACGAGACGCGGCAAGATGACGGACCACGATCTCAAGTATCTATTGGATCTGGTTCAACTGGGTCACTTACTGGACAGGGAAGGTTCCGCGAACGTCGTGGGTCAAGGGTGGGACGTTGTCGCCGATTGGATGGATGTCCTGTCCGGCGGTGAAAAACAACGTATCGCGGTAATCCTTTTGTTTCTCGTCCACCGGTGCACGATAATGTATCGTTTCACGATAGCGATTGCTTTCCGCAGATGGCCCGGCTGTTCTATCATAAGCCGCAGTTCGCAATTCTGGACGAGTGCACGAGCGCGGTCAGCGTCGACGTCGAGGACTCGATGTACTCTTACTGCAGGCAGGAGAATATCACTTTGTTCACGGTCTCGCATCGCCGGACGCTCTGGAAGCACCACGAGGTATGAATAAATCAATCATATATATATAAGATATATATATATATATATATCTTTACCATTAGCGCACATCCGATAACGAGCATACGTTCTCCGGTTTTCAGTATTTCCTGCAAATGGACGGCCGAGGAGGTTACGAGTTCAAGCCCATCGAGCAGGACACCGAGGAGTTCGGGTCGTGAATCTTCGTGTCCCTTGCATCCGATAACACTTGCCCGCGTGCAAGGGACGCCCCGCATTTCCTGTAACCTAACGGCCGAACAGAAAACAAAAAACGAAATATAAAGTTCAGTGTGCAATTTCTACTTGTAACAAACGGATATAACAAGTGTACACCCGGCATCGTCGACCCTGCACAGAAGATTCACGAGTATTGTGTACATTTACCCCGTTTCAAACGTAGCACATAATACCTGTATATTTTTTATATCAATGTTTTTAGAAGGTATCGCGCGAACGCCGACGCTCGGGCACGTAGGCCTTGTGAACTGTTAGTAAATCTTCAATGTTTAATTGTATAAATATATTATGTTCTTCCGATGCTGTCAAGATGGTAAATATAGGAGTACAATCCTTTCGAGTGGAAGGCCAATCTACCATTTCAATTCAGACCAACGTATTTTTGATACTCGAACGATTTCACCATTATTATTCCGGTAGAGACTCGTGCAGAGAGAACTATATAGGGAATGTTAAATGTACGTTACACGAGGTACATGCAGCAATTTAATACTAATGTCTATGTATATACATGTATACGAGGAGAATAGAGTTTCTAGCTCGAACCGACATTTTATGTACTTTAAGGGTGCAATTGCGATTCGTTATGTGTAGATCACATTCAGCCCAACACGGTCGAGAATATAAATATATCTATATATATATATATATAGATATAGATATAGATATATACGACAAGAATATACGTATATATACGTATATATATATATATGCACATTATATATATTGGATTGCTGGACAATAAAAATAAAAATATATAATGAAATAAACGACTAAAGTTGAAGCTATCTTTCGGTCTCCACTCTGAACATACCGAACAACACGTACTTATCGTCGCAGGTGTTTCATGTAACCTTCAGCGAACGAGAATTTAAATATATAATCTAAGATAATAATATCAATAAAAAAAAGAAGAAAAGAAAAAGTAACAGTTAACTTCGTCAACCGAAATAAATGTAAACGCATATTTATGAAAGCAAGCTTGCAGCCGTTCCTTCGACTCGCAGCACACTGTCCCTAGCAATTCCACGTTTGTACACTGTGTATACGTTAACGATACTATTTTCATTGCGTTTAATTTGCCGTCCGCCGACGAGCGCATCGGTATCCATTTTAAACGTCTCCCGGTCCCGTGTGCCACGGCGCTCGCGTCGTTCGGCCACGAATGGCAGTCGGTCAATTTCGATCCGCCATGTTCGTTGACCGTTGATCGGTCGGAGGAAGCTCGCGGCCGGGTCTGGGAACCTAGCAGAGAAGTCCGGGGCTATCGGGTGTTCAGTTGCCAGTCGCAGGTCGTTAGAGTTCGAACGGTCGAGAGAGAGGTGGACCCCGTTCGTGGTCCTACTACGGGTGTATGTGTGTGTGTGCGTGAAGAAGAAGATAAGAGTAAAAAAAAGAAAAAGACGCTCCGCGACAAGGAGAAAGAAAAAGAAAAGAAAAGAAAGGAAGAGGGGACCCGTGTGTCGGTGTGCGAACCGCGTGTGTGCCTCCTCTGCGGATAGTGACTAAGAAGACGAGTGGCAGTGCGGTAGAACGACGTCGAACGAGCGAAGCTTGGATATTTCTCGTGTGCCCGACATCAAACCGAATAAAGAAAGTGGTTCTCCTGCTTGTTCTCAAGGCTCGGGAGTTCTCGAGCGGTTCGTAAAGGCCAATTAAATCAAGTGATACGCACTGCAATCCTGAATAAATAATTCTCAATCTATCTCTGTCTCCTTCTCTCACCCTCTCTCTTTCTCTCTCTGTCTCTCTCTCGCTCCCTCCCTTTTCCTTTCTCCGCCTATCTTTTCACCGTGTCCGTTTCTCTTCCCTGCCTGCCCCTCTCACGCTCACGTTCCGTCCCTCCGTCTCTTTCTTGTTTCCTGTCCCTGTTCCTCCTCTC